GGGGGGACTGGGGAGAGAGGGAGAGGTCAAAGATGGAAGAGTGGAATCCGCAGGAGGGCAGTTAGGCTGGGGGCAGTTCTGTAAGGCCCTCCATACAGATGTAAGGGCAGCTTGAGGGTAGGGGCTGGGGCAGGAAGTTGACTTGGAAATGGGGTATCCGGCAAGAGTGTTGAAGAAAAACAAGGAGCCTGCTGGCTTGGCTCAGTGGTTGAGAGTGAACCTATGAACCAGGAGGTCTCGGTTTGATTCCAGGGAGGAGGCTATGCCCTGGCTACGGCTTGATCCCCGGTGTGGGGCGTGCAGGAGGCAGCCAATCAACGATTCTCTCTCATTATTGATGTTTCTCTCTCCCCCTCTCCTCTCCTTTCTGAAATAATAAAAATATATTTAAAAAACAAAAAAGGCCCTAGCTGGTTTGGCTCAATGGATAGAGAGCCGGCCTGCGGACTGAAAGGTCCCAGGTTCGATTCTGGCCAAGGGCACATGCCCGGGTTGCAGGCTCGATCCCCAGTGGGGGGCGTGCAGGAGGCAGCCAATCAGTGATTCTCTTACCATTGATGTTTCTATCTCTTTCTCCCTCTCCTTTCCTCTCTAAAATCAATAAAATATATTTTTTAAAAAAAACAAAAAAGAAAAACAAGGACAGTGGCCACAGCAGACACTGGGGTGGGTTCGCAGTGACATACTCCTCCCCTGCACGAGACACAGCGAGGAGGGCTCCTGGTGGCGCTAGGATCTGGCCCCTCCAAGAGGATAAGAGATTACAGCAGAGACGGGCCGGGGAGGTTCTCACACTTTGGGAATCTGGCCACCCTGAGTCCGTTTTCTGCTCCAGGCTTTGTCCCAGAGCGTGTCTTCTTCAGGAATGCCTTCCTGCCTGGGGAAGGAGCTCCTATTCATCCATCAAAGCCCAGCTCTAAGAACACTTCTGAGGAGCCCTCCCGCCTCTCCCCGGCTCTCCCTCTCAGCGGACAGCATGCCCCTCTGCCCGTAGAGGCTGGCAGCTCCGGAGCCCACCGTTTTCATTCTCGGAACCTCACCGCTTCCCTAGCGAGGACACCACGGGGAGCCGGAGGAGAGGAACTGGGATAAGAATGACCCAGAACACGAGTGAAAGCAGGGTGAGGGCGGACTCGGGATGCGGTGAGAGCGAGAAGGACCTGCAGAGACCTGTAGCCATCGCCTGGCGCGAGGCATGAAGTCGCCTGCGGAGGAAAGGGAGCCTCCGGGGGCTATGGAGCCCTTGGTGTTCGTCTGGGATCGAGAGTGGCCGCGCCCGCGCTCCCGCAATGAATGACTCAGCCACTACCTCTAGAGGGGACTTGAGGGCTGAGAACCGCACGGTGGTGGTGGTGGTGGGGGGGGCAAGGAGCGCGGCCCCATCCGCCCAGCAGCCCCGCGTGGTTGCTAAGCTCTCCAAGGCCTTGGAGAGAAGCGATCTGGGCGAACCTCACCGGTTACTATGGTAACTCTGCGCCCCAGCCTCTGGTGCGGCGGCTGAGGAAGGCGTACCCAATCAGAAGCTGCAGGGGTTCTCGGGAACCCACTCCCACCCCTCACGTGTGGGCGGGGGTTAGGAGGTGTGGGGAGGAGGCGGAGCGTGGGCCGCAACGAGATCTGGTGCCCGCTACCAGCCTGATGCAATGGCTGGGCAGCGCGGGAACACTTCCGGAGTAGCTCAGCCAGTGCCGCACACCAGTGCCGGATCCCCTCCCTCCCAGAAGGGGAGTCACCTGCAAGAACAGGGCCTTCCCCTGGGGTGCAGGACTTTGCGGAGGGGGGACCCCAGGCTGCAGGCCTTCTTGCCCCATTTCTCTCCAGTCAGTGGGTTGGAGACGAGGTCGTCCAATCGGGTTTCTCAGAACGACTCAATTGGGGAACCTGGGGGCTGGAGTCACTTCCGCAGGACCCTCAAGAGGCGTCCAGCCATTCCCAGTCGAACATCCTGAGGTCCTTCCAGAGACCAAGTTCAGGGCGAGCTGTTTGGGTAACCCCTCTGCCCAGATTCACGGAGGATCCTAGTGGCAGCCCCCGGAGTATCCCAAAGAGCCGAACTTGGCTCTCAGAAGGGGGCAAGTGTGTGTCTGTGTAAACATGTGCGCCCATTGGTGTCAAAATCTGGAGAGGATCTGGCTGCAAATGAGCTTATTCTGTGCATACCTAACCCATGTGTATGAGTGAGGGTGGGTGTGCTTGGGGTGGGTATAAATCAGTGGTTCTCAACCTTCCTAATGCCGCGACCCTTTAATACAGTTCCTCATGTGGTGGTGACCCCCAACCATAAAATTATTTTCGTTGCTACTTCATAACTGTAATTTTGCTACTGTTATGAATCGTAATGTAAATATCTGATATGCAGGATGTATTTTCATTGTTACAAATTGAACATAATTAAAGCATAGTGATTAATCACAAAAACAATATGTAATTATATACGTGTTTTCCGATGGTCTTAGGCGACCCACAGGTTGAGAATCGCTGGTATAAATAGTCCCATACAGGAATGTCTAAAAAGAGTTAACCAAGATCTTGTCTATCTTCTCCCCCCTTACGATTTCTGTAACTTCCCTTCCACCATCTACTGTCACCAGAGTTCCCTCCTTGAAAGCAGGACCTCCGAATTGGGGCAATGTGAGAATCTGGAAATATGTACACGGAAGCGTTCAGCACAAGACCCCAGGATGTGTGTGGCTCTTATGTCCGGGACTTGGGTCCCCAGGTGGGCAATCTGGGAGGGTGATCTTTCGAATAGCCCCCCTTCCCGGATCCAGCTGCGCATCTGCTAGCCCTCCAGCCCAGGTGCGCGGGAGGGAGGTCGTGGCTGTGCCGCGCAAAGCTCCGCGTTGCCGCGAGGTGGCGCCATAGTTGCAGCAGAGCCTGCTGGCCCGGGCCGCTCCAGATAAGAGTGTGCGGAAAGCGCGGCGGGGCTGAGACGCGA